GGATGACCTAACCTGTTTTCCTTGAATACAGGTTCCACATACTTGGTTGTCCCTGAAACTTTTGGTTGGCAGTCCCCTAACCAGGTCTTTAGATATAAGCTTGTTTATAGTTGTCATACTAATGTGTCCTATTCTTTTGTGCCATAGCATGGAGCAATCAGAGACTGCACTTAGACATTTAAGAGTATCTTCCTTGGAGTCAACAATCTTGGCTTTGTACACATTCTTGTGTCTCCTACCTAGTAGAACCAGGTTCCCAGTCACTGAGTTTGTTACTCTGCATTCCTTTTCTGTAAAGAGAACATTGTTTCCTTTTATATTGTAGGCCATTCACATAATATACATTCTCAATTGCATGAGTATCCATTGATCCAACATTTCCAATTCCCTGAATTTCACCACTTTTTCCATTACCAAAGGCAACGTTTCCTCCTTTGATGTTCTTGAGTAAGAGGAAGCTTCTTTTATCTCCAGTCATGTGTCTGGAACATGCACTATCCAAGTACCATTGTTGTTACTTCCTCTTCACTGATCCCTGTAATTTACTTTTGGGGATTAGATTTTGGTACCCAAATCCACTTTGATTTATGCTTAGGGAATGGATGGATAAGATTTCTTCTGGCCCATCTAGGAAGAGATTTGACTGTAGGAATTTGTTTTTGCTCATTGGGTTTCTCATGATGAGGTTTTCTCAAAGATTTCAAGTTTTTGTTATGAGCAGTTTGTTTCCTTTGACAATCATGACTTTTATGCCCTACCACCCCACAGTGCATGAATAGACAATCTATGTTGGGATTTTTTACTTGAGAGCTAGTTCTATCAAAACCTATCCCATGTCTCTCAGATGTGCGATTCTTGTGAATGTTGTGAAGCAATATAGAGGACCTGGTCCATCTCATTCCATTTTCTGCTTCAGTTTTAGTCACAAGAAGCTCTTTGGAGAGTGCTTAATTTCTTTTGGTTACCAAGTCTAGGTTTTTACTTAGTTCAGTATTCTTGGATAAAAGATGAAGATTTTATTTTTCAAGAATCTTGTTTTCTTCTCTTAGAGATACATAGTCTTCCATTATCAATTCTCTTTTTGAGTCTATGGTTTTATATGCATCAATGAGAGTGTAGAGTAAAGATTCTAGCTCCCTTTTTGAGTATGAGTTTAGATTGTCTTGTATGTGATGAAGACTAACCTTTTCATTCATATCTTCTTCTTCTTTATCCTCTTCAAAATCTGATCCAGCCATGAGTGCTAGTCTGGTTTCTTCTGATCTGCAGGTTTCCTTTTCTTCCTTGGTTTCCACTACTACAAGATCAAGAAGGTCATAATCATCTTCTTGTTCTAGTGCAATAAGGGACTTATTTTCTGTCTCATCACCCTCAGACTCTTCATCAGATGAATTCCCCATTGCTGCAAAGGCCCTCTTCATTGAAATATCTGTCTCTTGAGTTGTCATTCTTCTGTTTGAGGGGACAAACTTATCCTTTTTGATGTCTTTTCCCTTCTCAAAGTTTGCCTTTTTCTGCTCTAAAGCCCAAAGTGGACAGAATTTGATGAAGTGATCTGGGCTCCCACACTTATGACAAACCTGGTCTTTAGTGTTTTCAGATGGTTTTTGAGACGTTTTTTTTGAAAGGCCTGCCCTCTCTTTAGCATTCTGGTGAACTTTTTGGTTATGAGGGCAATATTTTCATCTTCAAAATCATCTGATGTAGTAGCCTTTAGAACCAGGTTCCTTTCCTTTCTTTTTCCTCCAATTTCCTTTCTCTTGGTTTTTCTTGAGTTCGTATGTGATGAGATTACCAATTAACTCATCCATGGCCAGTGAGTCTAGGTCGCGGGCTTCAGTGATAGCCTCGACTTTGCTTTCCCAAGTTTCAGGAAGGACACTCAAGAGTTTCCTTACTGCTTTTCCATTAGGAACTATCTCTCTTAAGGAGTACATCTCATTGATGATGGAGGTGAACCTGGTGTGCATGTCTTGAATAGTTTCCCCTTCTACCATCATGAACAGCTCATATTGCCTGTTCAAGTTATCAATTTTAGACTTCTTGACTTGCGTTGTTCCCTCATGAGCGGTTTGTAGTGTTTCCCATATGGCTTTGGCATCTTGACAAGATGAGATTCGATTGTATTTGTCTGGTCATATGCCACAGATCAAAATTTTCTTGGCTTTGGCATTGTTTTGGATTGCAAGCTTGTCTTCAGCATTCCATTCTTCTCTTTCCTTTGGGATTTTGGTGATTCCATCAGTTGCGGTTTTCATAGGTATGGTTGGGCCATCTAGAATTACTCCCCATAGATCAGGGTTTTCACCAATAAGATGGTCCATCATACGATTTTTCCACCATCCATAATATTTGCCATTGGACAGTGGTGGACGTGTTTGTGAAGCTCCTTCTTGTGGGGTAGGTGGTGCTGCCATTGAGTCTTTTCAAGGTGTGAATCTTTTATCGAAAAGACCTGTTCTGATACCAATTGAAGAAACCTTACCCCAGAACAAGAACCAGGTTCTTGTAAGTTGCTTTTAAGTAAAGACACAAACATTTATTAAATTAAAAACCTTCCGCACTCAAGGAAGGAAAAACCTCATTTTATTAATTCAACTATAAGATTTTGTGATTACAACTCAATAATCAAAAAGCCTTATCTCTACTAACTCTCTCGATTGACTACAATTGATCTCTCCAAAAGGCCAAACCCACCTTTTGTTACAATCCTCACGAAAACTCAACCCTACAAAGAGCCAAACCCACCCTTTGTATAATAAACTGTAAATTACAATCAAGAACAAAACAAGAAGATAGTTCTACGCGTTAAAAACCTTCTCACTCAAGAACGTTTTAAACGTATCAAACCTATCGATCTTGAAGACTTCAGTTTGATGAATAATTATCACTTTTCTCTCAATGTGAAGTCATGGGATTCTTCATCAACATCGTCCTCTTCTTATAGAGTTTCTTTTGCCTTAAATCCTTATCAGATAAGGTAAGGAACTTATTGTTAAACAAGGATTCCCTTTTAAAGTACAATCCTTATTATATACAACTTCCTTCCTTAATAATATATTTAAGGTTTTCCTTATGTGTATCAACTTATACCTTTAATATATTATTTTTGGCTTTGACAAATAACTATATTTTCTTGATTACTTGGCTGATCCATTTTACTCGATCTTGGACTCGAGCTTGGCTTCTTTTGCTGCGTATATTTGCTACTGATTATTTGCGCTTCTTGTCCATCATCAAAACATGAATTATCGATTCTATCATATTCTATCAGACCTGATTTAGTTTATAACTCATTGAACTGAGATTACATCACGACTTAACCACAAAGAAAAATTCATAACACATAAAATCTGTAAAAGGACCAAGTTCTTCGGTGTGTTGCTTCTATGTGTTCCTTCAGTTTGTTGGAAGCACTTGCAAAGTCAACTTTTCAATTTCACTTTTTGCCCCTTTCAGTGCACAATTAGTTTGGACGACTTCACTTCTATTTAAGCATAATTTTTCATAGAGTTACAGTTTACTTCAAACTCCTCATTTACTTGAATTTTCTTGACTTAGAGTTCTACTTCAACTAAGACTCCTTCTTCAATTCAAATCAGTTGCATTCATTGGTGCTTTTGAATTGTAATCGAACTCCAACACTTCAATTTAATAGTAACTTGAAGAGTTCTAATTTAAGTGAGATTCCTTCTTTAATTAAAACTTCTTGCCTCGTTAGACTCATTCTTCAAATCAAACTCATTGATTCTTTCTCTTCAATTGATCAACTGCTTACTTCCTTGGGCTTTCTCATGAAATTAGCATTATTCATTTCTTTTTTTCTGCACTCTTGTCTTTATTTATCTTACTGACAGTGTACATCTGGATCATGTTGACTCAAGTATTTCATCTTTATTTGTCAATCATTAAAACTGCATAAATCTCAACAAGTTTTCCCTTTTTGATGATGACAAACTTCTTTTCTTTGTGCATTCAAAAAAAATCATCTGTAGACATTGAAGCATGAAATACTAACATGAAGCAAGTTAGTGAATGAAATATAAACACTGCACAACTCTTATCTTCCCCCTTTTGGCATCATTGAAAAACTATGTCAATCCTATAGTATATGAGATAGATTGATTAGTTAAACTATTTGTGACACTGGCTATCACCAAGACAATCAGATAACGACTCCATGCAACATAATAATGTATTATAGAGAGTAAGAGCACGAGTCATTAAAGCAATAAATAATCGCTCCATTAAACTGCCAAATAATTGTTTTATATAAGATCGAAGTCATACTGAATTAAGCAAAAATTATTGAGCACCAATAAAAAAAACACAGGATTGAGTAAAATAAAGTCAGAGGCATTAACCTTGAAAAGTGAGGAGAAGAATGAAACATGTGGCGATAATTTTGTCAATCAACGAATAATTTCAGCATTTTCAATTTTTTCTTTATCAAGAATAGTCTGTAGAGTTAAAATTCTCATCTGATCTTTTTTATAAGTTGTATGAGCTGCCTTCAGTTCAAAAATCTTATCAGTGAAAATATTACTTCGGCTTTTTCATTGGAATATCAATTTTTCTCACTTTTTTCTTTTTCTTTTTCTTTGTTTTTTATTTGAAATTCCATGACTAGATTGGAATGAAGTATTGAATTGATTTTTTTAAGTGAAATAAGTATAAATATCTATGTGAACATGCCATGTTGTCACCATGTAGATGCCACATACGACGATAAAAGTGGAGACATGAGAATTAACAGTTCAAAGACAAATGTTGACACCCAATTTTGATCCCCATGATTAGAATTAAATTTCGAGTTTCTTAATTTTCAAATAAAATTTAAAATATTTTAAAGATATTTTAAATAGTTTTAACATATATATAATATTTAAGTAATATATATATGTTTTATATATATAATTTGGTATGTAATTAACATAATTTTATAAATATTTTGAAAATCATCTTTTCCGTTTGAGGAATGGTACGAATTTGTACACTAACCAATTGTCAATCCTTATTTGTTAAGGGGTTTTGAAATTTCTCAAAATCCCACATCGAAAATCTTTCAGATTTCAGAGATTTTAGGCCCTATAAATAAGCCTTCTTCTCACTGTTCAGAGGAGAGGATTTTCGGAGATCAAAGAGTACCCAAAATTTTTTGAGAATTCTTAGTTTCATAGTTCAAAATTTTAAAACGTGTTGTGATTTTTCGAGTTGAAGAAAATTTTAAAACGTTTTGTGGTTTTTCGAGTTGAAGAGGTGGAATCGTCTCTGTTCCGTCAAACTCGTAGTTTCGATTCACTGCCTAGAATCACGTAAATTCTTTCTTAGCTTTGTTTTATTTAATTCTCAGCTCTTCTATGCTTTCTGTTTATTATATGTTCTTAGCTTTGTTCTAGTAGTCATGTGTTAGACTTCGATTTGACCTTTTAATAGTTAATAATATTTATCTTGTTCCTATTGTTTTATTTATTTTTGTATAGTTGAAAATTTCCTAGATCTTTTGGTGTTCTGTTAATATTTATCGCCTGATTTGGTCTTAAATATTAATGTTCATTTCGGCCCTAACCCTTTGCTTGTTCCTATAATGATAAAAATTCAATTATATATTTACACAACTGATTCATACAAATATCGAATGTTAGTTCAAGTCTTTGTTAAGGGTTGTTGCTTCGATTTTGAAAATGGCATGAGTTGTTGGTTTGTCTCTTCACTGATTTTCCAAGATATTTTTCGGTAATCTTTCAATTTCATGTCTTTGTTTTCTTCGTGTTTCATTCATGTGATTCTAGACTAAAATGTAGACTTCATAGTTAGTAATAAAAGAGGATTCATTAAGCTAGTCTTTCCTTTATACATATATACGGTTATTTGTTTTCTATTATATAGAAGAGCCATGATGAGGACGACCAATGACAATTTAATAATTTTAAACATTATTATGAGTAAAGTTCTAAATTTACAATTATATAATTAATTGTCAAAATAGTCTTCTAGAAGAATCCAAATTTTCTTTTCAAGAGTCAAAAAAGTCTTGTTTCATGTGTGGCCCACAAACTCATTTTATTTTATTTTTAAAAATCAATTTGTATTTGTTTGAATATAATAATAATATGAAAAATATTTATACCTTTATACTCTTGACAATTCAAATCGTTCATCTATGTTTATTACTATTACAACATATTTAGTGTAATCCTACAATCTTCCATGCATGTAATTTCCTTTTTAATTATATATAATGTTTTTAAACATAAGTATTCATATAATTTTATTTAATCGATTTTATCTCCAAAATAATATTTATTTTATCTTAATTCCATGTATGTAATTTCCTTTTTAATTATATATAATGTTTTTTAAACTTCATATAATTTTATTTAACCTATTTTAGCTCCAACATAATATTTATTTTATCTTTAAAATTTGTGACTTAAATAAGAAAACAAAAATAGCACAATTCTATAGAGATAAAAAAAAAGAATATAAAGTTGATGATGTAAGAATTGATAAATAACGGCCGCATGATTGTAGTTTAAGAATTTACATAATCAATTAACGGGATAAATTTTGAAATAGTATAAAAAATCAATTTGTCATAGAATTATATATCATATACTTAAGAAACTTCCACAATAAATAACTACGAATTGACCTTCATATAATAGTGAATTGCACCTTTTAGTCTTGTTTTCTACTTCTTACAATCTTGAATTATGATAAATTAGTGTCATTCGTCGAGAGTAATAAGCATATTAAATATTAAATTATGAATACTTTACAATTTATAAATAAATATTTTCTCAATTAATATCAATACTTGAATTTCAGAATTAAGTTACTTTATTACCTTATTTATATAAAAATTTTGGTTATTATCGACTAGATATTGATTAAAAAAAACTGTAAAACAAAATTGTGAAAAAGGTTTAACATTTTCATTTTAAACTTTATTAAAAAGAAAAATAGTTTTGAAAAAAAAACTTAACGAAAGTCTATACTCACTCCATTTCGATTTATTTAATGTTTATTTGACTTAAAATGAGTTTTTTTTAAAAAAATAATTTTAAAACTCGTGGTCTAAAACAAACCATAGATGTTCATATGGCTATAAATCTTCTTACAAAGAATAAAATTTATATTTTAAAGTCAAAATGTTTTGAATATATTAATACATCATTCTTTTTAAATTGATTATAGAGAAAAATATGTCACAAATTTTCATAGTTTTGAGAGTTAATTACATTATATCTCCACTCTTTTTCAAATTACAAAAAAATTAGATTTATTAGCAGATATGCGGATATATTGATCATGATACATTGCTATTCAGGAAACTTGTAGACGCATAACTCACGGATGAATCTGAGAGGAGAGAGCTATATTTGAGAGGGAAAAAGGATGTACCCGAGAGGAGAGAGATGTATCCAAGAGACGATAGAGATGCATTCAGGAGGGGATGAAGATGTATTCAAGAGAGGATATGTATGTATTCGAGAGGAGATAGTGATGTATCTGACAGAGGAGAGAGATTTATCTGATAGGAAATTTTTATAATTTTTCTAAATGCTAGAACTGGGAATTTCCAGACTTAAAAAGTTCAAATCCGGGCAGCAGCGGCAGCAATTGGGCTTAATGTTGAAGTTTCATTAACATTTTTTTCTCATTATATATTGTGATTTTGTGATATTTGCTTCTAACTTCTAACATTTATTTTATCTAACTTAGATGAATACTTGGGAGTTCTTAAATAACTCTTTTATTTTGTTAGTTGTTTACTTAAAGTATCAAAATTTTCAAAATCTCTTTTAAGTTAGATAACTAAGCTTCAAGACTAACTTGGGACTTATTTCTATTCCTTCATAGTTAGTATTTAGCTTTCAAATCCACGTTTAAGTGATTGTGTTAATTATTCGACTTAAAAACTTGACTCAGATAAATTGTTAAGTTAGAATTTTACTTTTTGGCACTTTAATATTTGGACTATTTTATTATTTGGGATAATACAAATATGTACAAGTATCAAAAGACTTTTCACTTTTCAAAAAATAAAAATAAAAAATAAGATATTTTATTCAAGAAATTTAAATTTTTTACAAAAATAGCCAAGTTTCTAAAATTCGTCCGTCAACCGTGAGTTAGCGGATTCTCTAAGATGCCGCGAGTTAGCGTCCTTTCTTAGAAAATTATTTGAACCCTTACCCAAAACTCTGATTTTATTTAAAATGTTTTCTTTCAAAAAATTTCCTTTTAAATGGTTTTTTATTTTTTTCTCAAAAATAAGTGGCGACTCCCAAATTATAAATATTTTTTCCAAAAACTTAACAAAATTGGTCAAAGTTGAAATCTCTTTCGAAACTTTTAGTTTTCAAAATCGGGTCGTAACAACAAATATGTACCTTAAGATCCGTAAGGGCAAATATATTAAAAAGTATAATGAAGGACAAATATAACCCTTTTCTGAGAGTACAAGGACAAATATGACCCTTTTTCGTTTTCTTTATTCACTACTATTCTATAAAATCCGATTTTGGAAAAAAAGTATCAACAAACAAATTAAAAGGGAAAAATAAAAGATGAAAATGGAGTTTACTCCTACATGAATCATCTCTAATATAGTTAAACATGAACTAATTCTGATGACTCTTCGTTTACGTTGTCGTCATTTAAGTTTTCATTTTTTATTTATCGAAAAGAAAAAAAATATGAACACAAATGATAAAAAGAAGGTTGCAATTATATGAATCATCTCTAATGTTGTTATGTTTGCTTTAAAAATTTATATTTAAAAAACATTTTACATAAAATATATAGGAAAATTGAGGTGAGAAAAAAACTTGATTTTAATTTTTTTTGGATCAATTGGTGAAAAAAATTGGCTTAAAAAATAAACTATAAAATTTAAATAGTCATCCAAATGCATTTATATTTTTGAAATCTAACATTTCATCATTTAGTAAAGAGTTATCATAAGCAAACATTAAATAGGGGTATAAGGGTAACATTACTTTATTTCTTAATGCAAATACAAATGAAAAAGTGACATATGATATGAGACCGAGAGAGTATATTAAGTAAGTATATAATATCATATAATAGGAGGAGTTGAATAATTAAATGTAGGCTAATTAATTAGGAGAAATAAATAGTTTGGAGAATAGGAAGAGAGTTGCATTGAATAATTAAATGTAGACTAATGAAAGAAAAGGTTCAAAGAATGCATATTGAAATAAATAGCTATAAAAAGACAAGAAAGGATTCTTGAATTTTTACTTGACATTTTTAAAGGCTCTTGCACAATTTTAAATTATTAATGAACTAGTGAAATTGTCAGCGCTATGCGCGGTATTCTTAAATATAACTGATGAAAAATTACATTAGATTATAAAACATCAGATATACTTATGCAAAATATAGAAATCAACTGATCAAACATATGAAAAATGCATATAAAAAAAAATAAAAATGTCACAAAGTTATCGCAAAAAAATCATCGCATGGGGGAAAAAAGCAACTTATATTATTATCCATAAAAGAGGCACAATAGTCAATTAAAAGAAATAAAAGTTTTTAATGAAAATACTCAGTTGCTGCAACTTCCTGAAAGTGACCTGCCCTCCTCATGGTGAACTTTCTGACTTGTGGTGGGAGAAAAAGAGTTTCCCAAAACCTAGGCATCAGTTGTTGCACAAGTAGTTGTCATGTTATGTACATAATTGGAAGGATTCTCAAAGTTATGTAAATACGAAAAGAAAATCTTGTGTTGAGCATTTTAAATCTCATTCTCAACTTCCATATATCAAGCCAACAACCAACACAAAATACACCTAGCGCGAAACTAAATTCCATAAGAGAGCAGACTGGTAACTAAATAACATACAACAGAAGATTGGTAATGATTCCACCTAGTGCCGACTACTAACAAGCTGTCGTCTAATCTTTTTGAGTGCTGAAAGAGCATCATTCATGCTAATTCTTTCATCAGGTCTCACTAAAGTGCACTTCAAAGCTAATTCCATGATAGATAACAAACATTGCATCTTTGCAGCGATTTGTTCATCTCCTGGCTGTACCAAATTCGAATCCACCACCTTGTGAATTTCACCCGGAAAGGAATCATTAACCCAACGCTGTATGCTCAAGTCTCCAGTAAATATCTCATCACTTGGTCTTGTTCGTGTGAACGTCTCCATCATCACGATGCCAAAACTATAAACATCACAACTCGTGGATACTATGCCATCTTGTCCATACTCTGCAATCATGGTCGAAAATGATCACAAATCAATTTATACCTAACTGTTTTGAGTATTTACATGATATGAGAACTTTAAAAAGTTGAAATATACCTGGAGCAATATATCCAATGGTTGCAACTGTCCTTGTTTGAACAAAAGCCTCCCCTGCACCTAACATTTTTGCAATGCCAAAATCACTTACATGAGCAACCATTTCTTCATCTAACAAGACATTACTTGGCTTCAAGTCACAATGCACCACAGGCGTTGAATAGCCATTGTGGAGATAATCCATTGCAGATGCAACATCTATCATTATATCCAATCTCTGCAATAAGTTCAAGAACAAATTGTGAGAGTATAACCATTTATCAAGTGTCCCATTGGGCATGTATTCCAACACTAGGGCCTTGAAATAAAGATTGGAGCAGCTGGTGATGACTTTGGTCAGATTTCTGTGGCGAAGGTTCCGGAGTACCTCACATTCTGTGTCAAAGCTTTTGAATGCACCCTCCAATTGCACATTGAATACCTTTGCTGCAAAAATGATACCATCCTTAAGTATCCCTTTATAAACCCTGCTGAAACTCCCATTACCAAGCAAGTTGGCTTCGTTGAACCCTTCAGTTGCCTGTTCAAGTTCGTAATATGAAATTCTTTCATGCCCTTTTACGAGGGACACATCCTTTTGAGTAGCATTCTTCTTTGTGTTTCTCAATCTTAACACCACAATTCCAACAGTCAACGTGAAGAGTGATCCAATCCCTAATAGAATATATAAAGCCGTAAGCACTCGTTTTCTTTTGGACTTCTTTGTCGATTTGGTTAGGCATGGTTTTACGTTAAATCGGGAGTCACCACAAAGTGCATCATCGGACAAGAAAGACTTACTGGTTACATTTGCAAAGGGACCACCAGTGGGAATTTCTCCACTGAGTTCATTGAAAGAGAAATTTAGGTATTTGAGATACACAAGAGCTTCTAATGACTTTGGAATTTGACCACTAATATTATTATAGGACAAATCCAAGTATTCCAAAGACAACATTTTGCCAAATGATTCAGGAATAGGCCCCTCTAATCTATTATGTGTTAGAGAAAGATGAATCAATTTATCTAGACCCCCTAGAGTACTAGGCATCTTACCAGAAAAACAATTATTTGACAAATCAATGTGTGTTGCAGCCTTCAAGTTTCCACTCTCCATTGGAATTTCCCCACTAAATAAATTGAATGAAACATCTAATTCTATGAGATCTTGAAGGTTCCCCAAGTTTGAAGGTAATGTAGAATCCAGCTTGTTGTTATATAGATGAAGTATCCTCAAACTAGTAATGTTCCCTAAGCAGAAGGGTACCGAACCAGAAAAATGATTTTTTGACAAGAGTAATGCACCAAGTCTCTTTAAATTACAGACAACATCTGGTATGGTTCCTTCTATCTTGTTGTTCAATAAGTAAAGTTCTTGAAGGATCGACATGCCATGTACAGTATTTGGAATATGTCCAGTTAATGTATTGTTAAACAGACTCATCCTTGTCAGTCCAGTAAGATTACCAATTTCTCGAGGAATGACACCCTTCAGTTTACAACTATATGCTTCAAAATTTTGCAAGGAGTTTGAGAAATTACCAACAGATGCAGGCAATACACCATCCAACGGACTATCACCTAACTCCAGTACGCGTAGTTTCCTACAGTTTGTTAATGATGTCAGGAAACTCAATGATGGATCACTGATAAAATTATTGATCCCCAAGTTCAGATACTCAAGGTATTGTAAGTTACCAAGTGATTTAGGAATGAGACCTGTAAAACTGTTGTTGGAGAGGTCAAGTAGTTTAAGTTTCGATGAATTAGAGATTGAAGCAGAGATAAAACCACTCAAATTATTTCCTCCACAAAGGAATACTTCAATGTTGGGTATTCCACGACCTAAATCTGAAGGTAGAGTACCTGAAAACTTGTTCTGTCCAAAATCTATAGTCTGCAGTGCTGATATGTTGAAAATGCTTTCAGGGACAGAACCAGTAAATTCATTTCTAGCTAATCCCAACCCCTGAAGATTCTTAAGATTAGCTAGCTCCATTGGTATCACTCCTGTCAATATTGGGTAAATATATGAGTACAAGTTTGGCGGAAAAGAGAAAAGGAAGTTTTTTTTTAATACTACCTTCCAAATGCAGAGCTGACATTGCTAATTCTGTAAGAGTTGTTAAGTTGGCTAGTTCTCTTGGTACAGTTCCAGCAAACTCATTTTCAGACAATTCCAATATTTGAAGCTTTCTGCATTTTTCCAGGTTCGGTGGAATAACTCCATCTAGAGAGTTTCTACCGAGGTAAAGTCCTTCCAAGTCTGGAAGATGATCACATATCGTTTTTGGAAGCATTCCAGTAAGATTGTTGCCGGTAAGAGCAATCACTTGCATTTTAGTAATGTTAAAGATTGATTATGGTATATAGCCACTAAGATGATTAAATTGCAGGTCTAGGATAGTCAAGTAACGAAGATCATCGATTTCTCGAGGGATCTCTCCTTCAAGAAAATTTCTATCCAAGACTAACTCTTGCAGCTTTGTTAGATTGGAAAGGGAAGATGGAATTTCTCCGGAAAATTGGTTTCTCAAGAGGATTAGAGAGTGTAGGTTCGGTAACAAACTTAAAAATGATGGAATGGGACCGGTGAAGTTATTGTCTGAGACATCAATCAATTTCAACCTCTGCAAACGAGCCAACTCTACTGGCAAATCTCCATGGAAAGTGTTGTTACTGATGTCGAGGGAAGAAAGAAATGAGAGGTTTCCAATGGATGGAGGAATGGTACCATGAAGTTGCATGCTAGAGATGTCTAATGCAGTGACTCGATGGTGTCGGGAGCTGCAAGTGATTCCAATCCAGCTGCAAACGGGGACAGAAGAAGACCAGTTTGTTGCTATGATGTTGTTAGAAATGTGTGATTTAAGTGCAAGAAGAGCAGCTTCATCAGTGCTAATATTATTAGCATTGGCATGTAGTAATAGTAGAATGAAAATTATAAGAAAAAAGAGGAGAGTGGAACTTCTGCCCATAATTAATATAGATATCAAATTTAATGATAACTATAATGTTGCGTTATCCTATTTATAACACTAGTTTTGTACCACGTGCGAGTAAAACTTTTTAGAGTTATAAATATTAAATCCTATGAAAATATATTAGATTTAATTTGCATATTTTAAAATAGGAAAAACGATACAAAATATATTCTATTTTTTATCGAAATTATTGTAACATTTCAAAGTTTTTTTCTCCAACAACCTTATCTAATTAAGGCTCCCTCCCTTCATTCAATATATTGACTACTTTCTTTCATATGTCGTGGAAAGTCTATCTTTGACACTTATCAGTCATCTAATCTGATATATAACTAGTTGTAGATATTAAATAGGTACGCTAATAAAAAGAATATCTAATTTTTTGTTTAAAATATCAAATTAATGTGATCCAATTTAACTTTAAAAATTAGTCTAATTGACTTTCGAAAAGCGCAATTAAACAAACAATTTCGGACGGAGAAAGTATATATGTATGAGAGATATAATCTAGAAATGAAATATAAATTAGAACGATAAAGGTGAATAATAATAATATTATTATGTGAAAATGTTATATATAACTAATAACTATAAGTTATGATATTATTCTTTTATGTTTCAAAATTGAAAAAACTTTTTTTACTTGAACAAGAAGTTAAAGGAAGAAAATAAAAGGTAGAATAAAATAACATTTAAATAGACTCAATTGCTTTCAAGAGTCTTTCATTATAAAAAGGAGTTTTTGACCAAAATGAGCTATTTTTAAAACCAATTTACCAAAATAATACGTTTTTAATTTTTTCCACAAAACTAGTATAAATGTACTTCATGGTTGACGACGTTAAACGCATAAACGTAACTGTGAGTAACGTTTTAGGTGTAAAACGTTACTCAAGAGTACGTTTTTGGAGAATGCAATCACGGGCCACTGACTCCAATCCTGCAAAGGCGGAGTCAAATCATTCAACTGTAAAACGTTACTATGAGTAACGTTTTACACCTAAAATGTTACTTTGACTCCCGTTTCTTAGATTTGATTGATTGATAGTTGAAGGACTGGTGCAAAGCTGTGTGTAGAAGATAGTAGGATAAGAATGAAAGTGAAGTACTCCCTCTTAACCATACTTACAGAGGAGTCATTGTTGATATAAACGATCGAAAGATTTCATTTCAAGCTTTATCTATCTTTCTCTATAGGACATTGTGTAAACTTCATCTGATATTTGGGCAGATATGCAGAAAGTGTTATAGCAAAGGTCAAATTGACCCAGTTAACAGTTGAGTGTGTAAAGAAATTATGAAACTTTTGTTGAAAGAAAATGAAGAGTTTCTGAATGTACATTTAACGTTCCTAAATGCGCTCTTATTATTTCTCTGATCATTGCTTTTAGAGTATAATATATTTGTGCTTGAAAATGTTTCCAAGTTGATGGACGTCAAGAAAACATCTCACTGTTTGTTTGTAGTTCTGGCTTAAGTGGTAAGTTTCTTATATCATATTTTGCGGTTGTCTAAAGGAATAGAAAAGATATATTTTTTTCCAAATAGCTATTGGTAGTCTTTGGGATGCTTTATTTGAACGAGTGTGTTCTGAAATAGCTTTTCTATCTTCAAAAAATTGGGGTAAAGCTGTGTATATTCCACTTTCCGTAGACCAACATCAACTCCATTGGAGGTTTTAATATCTCTATCATATTTAGGAAAAAAATTAAAAATTTCTAATATAGGAACTGCCATTGTAAGTTAGCAATGTATGAGCCGCAACCGTACTTGCGTACACAAAAAATTAGTAACTCTTTAGATTAAATTTGTCTGATTTAGTGTAAATACAATTAATATAAATACTCTATTTCTTATAATATTTGTATCAATATGAATGTTACCGAGTTTGATACAATTATGAAAAATAAGAATTAATAATAATAATAATAATAATAATAACAAATAATAATAATAATCATAATAATAATAATAATAATAATAATAATAATAATTTTATCCGTCCCCATTCCTTCAACTATCAATCAATCAAATCTAAGAAACGGGAGTCAAAGTAACATTTTAGGTGTAAAACGTTACTCATAGTAACGTTTTACAGTTGAATGATTTGACTCCGCCTTTGCAGGATTGGAGTCAGTGGCCCGTGATTGGATTCTCCAAAAACGTACTCTTGAGTAACGTTTTACACCTAAAATGTTACTCACAGTTACGTTTATGCGTTTAACGTCGCCAACCTATTAACTTTTTGTCCGTTGAATTTTTATAATGAAAATATCCTAAAACGTTACCATGAAGTACGTTTATACTAGTTTTGTAAAAAAAATTAAAAACGTATTATTTTGGTGAATTGATTTTAAAAATAGCTCATTTTGGTCAAAAACTCTTATAAAAAGGGAAGTGGAAAAAAACAATAATATCTCCTTTTCTGCAAAAAAGCAAAGCAATCAGTAAATCAAAAATATTCACTTTCCAATATATTACATTTAATTATCTCAAAAATATTCACTTTCCAATATATTACATTTAATTATCTTATTGTTGAGCCAAAGACCAAAGGCACAAAGCAAGGTCAAGGCAGATAATCAAAGAATGCTTTACAATATCATCTTAAAATTATGTGACTTTATGATGGTTTAGTTGTCACTTTGGTTATTAACCTTTATTATTTGGAATTCACTAGTCCAAATAAGACAATTTTGTGTTGGTTATAAATAGTTTCATTAAAATTTTTTGTAATTTTACTAATTTCACCACACTGGTTATTAATATTAGAGAATGAATATCTATGTTGACATTCAATTTTGACCGTCCACGAAAGGAATTGACTTTCTAGTTTCTTAAATTTCAAACGATTTAAAATGACTGACTTTATAAAATTCAAAATATTTTTCAAGTTAAGTAGTTTTCACCTCTTTTATAATTTTTAAGTAATATATAATTTTGTATATAATTAATTTATTTTATAAATATTCTGAAAATCATCTCAAGAAGATTTCAATTTTTTTAATAAGTATTTTATTAAGTTAGTTTAGTTTAAGTTACGGTTATTAAATCACATAAATATGCTATATTATAAAAATATTTACCATTTATATCAACATAAGTTTTCTAACTAAATATAACATTTTTTTGGAATTAAGAAAATTGTACGGTCTTTGCCTCTTTCTTAACCATTTTTCCTATTCTTCTGCTTATTTGACTCTTTCTTTTTTTCTTTTTTTTTACTCTTCTGCTTCTTCGCCTCTTTATTCTTCTTTTTTTACTCTTTTAATTTTTTGTCTCTTTCAGTGGTGTGTTATTTATCTTCCTCTTCTGATTTTTTTTAATTCTTGTTCTTTTCTTTAAATTTTTTATCTAAATAATTATATTTCTCAAATCAATTTTTTTCATGTCACTATTTTTATTAAAAAACAAGATGAAATTTGTATAAAATTATGTTTTTAAGCAGAAATTTTCAATCTTTAAAATTACAGAAGTAAGAGTTCACCATTGATGGTCATTATAAAGCTTCAAATTTTGGATTTATTATTTGAATTTTATAAATTTGTGATAAGTTTGAATAGGTAGTTCCTACAAATGATTGAAAATGTCGTTTGGAGTTTATATCTCAATTTTAAGAAGGTTTGGTTAAGTTTAAAATTGAGTTTAGGAGAAATATTAGATTGAAATGAATTAAATATAACATTGAAACGGTCTTGCAACTGTATTAAAGTTGAATTAGATAATACAATTTTAATGCAAATTTAATTCATTTTGAAGTTTTTTGATTGATTTGTCACTATTGGATACTTGTTTAATCCATTATTAATATAACTTATCAATTTATTGATCATTGTCATATCTTTCGTTAGTTACGTTTTTCATTTATTCTTAATTCTCTTTTCTAATTCAACTTTAAATACTGTGTAATACTATTTTAATGCAAACTTAATTCATTTCACGGCCTTTTGATTTATTTGTTACTATTGGATACTTGTTTAATTCATTATTGATACAAGTTTAATACACTCTACAAATCATTGTCTTGTCAGTCATAGTTACATTTTCCATTCATTCTTAATTCTCTCTTCTTATTCAAATTTCATACCGTTTGATACAATTTTAATACAAATTTAATTCATTTGCAGTTTTTTATTCATTTATTTGTTCCTATTGGATACTTATTTAATCCATTATAAATATAAGTTTAATTCACTCTATAAATCATTGTCTAATATTTTATTTATTACATTTTTTTATTCATGCTTAATTCTCTCTTCTACCTTAACTTTAATATTTGTGTAATACAATTTTGTATTTTTAATTCACTTTGCGATTAATCAATTGATTTGTTACGATTATTGATACCAGTTTTATTCAGTTTACATGCAGATCAAAGAATGCTCTTTTGTTTTCTACATTCTGCATTCATATTTAATTCTTTTCTAATAATTCAACTTTAGTTTGTCTGTAATATATTTTTAATTCAAGTTTAATTCATTTTGCAGTTTCTTATGCCTCTTCATTTGTTACGATTATATTACTTCTCTTCTAATAATTCAACTTTAATATGTTTGTAATACATTTTAATTAAAGTTTAAATCATTTTACAGTTTTTATGTCTCTTCATTTGTTACGATTATATTACTTGTCTAATTATCTATTGATACAAGTTTTATTCAATCTAAAATTATTGACTATTCTAAAAAAAAAAGGAATAAAAGCAATAGCAAGAGAGGGGAGAAAGAGCAAAAAAAAAAAAGCAAGAAAGAAAGGACAAAAGAAAGAAAAAAGAAAAAGAAAAAAAAAAGAAAGCGAGAAACAGTAAAGGAGAAAGAAAGAAAAAGAGAGACGGAGAAAGAAAGAAAGAGCGAGACAGAAAAAAAAAATTAAAAAAGTTGCTATAAATGATAATAATTAAAGATTATATTTTAAATAAATAATTATATTTTAAAAGGAATCCATTCAGGTAATTAATCCTTTTTATTTTGAATCAAGTTAATTATTTTATATTGTTAAAGTTGAGAATCTCGAGTAATTAATTAGTTGACTTAATAATTCCTCTCATTTCCCTTTGAAACTCTCCTAATAGACTTTATAGTCCATATTTGGACCATCAGATGACAAAATTTGTGGCCCAAATTCATTAAGATGACCCAGCCCAAACCCGCTAGCCCACACCTATACTCATCGTTCCTCTTATTCCTTTGCAATGCCAAGAAACAAAAACGAGCCTATCGTTATAAATTATTATATAGTACACATGAATATATAAGACCATTGAATATTACTTGATCTAATTATACTTGATCGAATCTTTATTCCTATTCGTGACGAACTAAAGAGGAAACTACCATAAATTACACAAAATGAAAGGAGGGAGTATGACTTTTCCTTATTTACAGTTTCTTTGATGATCACAAGTTGCAACATCTGTCCAATTGGCTTTTGGCTGTAACATAAGAACAAAATACTATTGTGGCATAGCATAGTTCAAAGAGTAAATAGGTTAAAATCCCTGTAAAATGTCGTTATTTTGTGAGTTTCATATCTAAACTATTAAATATTCATATGACCCGCTTAGACTACTTTAGATTAGTAAAAACTCCCTATTTTGGATGACTTGCTAAAAGGCGCGTGAGAGATGAAAAAGTCTAAAAATGAGTACACGTAGCACAATAAGTTCATTGTAGTTTTGGGTGTTTTGTGAACATTAGTCTATAGTTTAGATATGAAACTCGTAAAATAATAATTTTTTTTGAAGGGGGGTGGGGGGTTGTTTCGAACCTATTCACTTAATCTTCTTTCTTTTTTTCACGCAACGTGTCAAATTCCTCCAGGGATAATTTAGTATGAATTCATGATATTTCATGGTGATTTGGGAACACGATAATTTGAATATGAAACTCATAAAATAATATAATTAGAAATTCTTAAACTTATTTAATCTACTCCATGGTGTTAAGTGTGGAGAGACTTCTCTAAGATACATATTTTTTTAGGTACAAAAAAAATCTATAAAAAAAATAATCTTATCTTTCTTTAATTCAATTCACTCTCTTCCACATAAAAGAAAAATAAAAACATACAGAGACTTTTGAGTGCTGTGAGACTTTGACTAATACATACAACTTGTTGAATTAAACATTAATCTGAACCAAAAAACACTCCACGTACAAATTGTATTATGTTTGCACTTCCTAAATATTGACTGAGTTTGAATTTGATAATATCATTAAATACATCTTCTAATGTCATTCCTTTGCATTATCTATTCTTGTTGGCTTAATTATGGACAGAAGTTTCATTCTTCTCTTTTTCATTCTACTACATAACAATATTTTACATGCTACTGTTCCTAATATTAGCAGTGATGAAGCTGCTCTTCTTGCACTTAAATCACACATTTCTAACAATATCATAGCAACAAACTGGTCTTCTTCCGTCCCCGTTTGCAGCTGGATTGGAATCACTTGCAGCTCCCGTCACCATCGAGTCACTGCTTTAGACATTTCAAGCATGCAACTTCATGGTACCATTCCTCCACACCTCGGGAACCTCTCATTTCTTTCTTCCCTTGACATCAGTAACAACACTTTCCATGGAGATTTGCCTCAAGAATTGGCTCGTTTGCAGAGGTTGAAATTCTTTAATACTAAAAACAATAACTTCACCGGAGCCATTCCATCATTTTTAAGTTTGTTACCAAACCTACGCTTTCTGTACCTATCGAATAACCAATTTTCGGGGAAAATTCCATCCTCCCTTTCCAATCTGACAAAACTGCAAGTGTTGTCAATACAGAGTAATTTTCTGGAAGGAGAGATCCCTCGAGAACTTGGTGATCTTCGTTACTTGTTTTTCCTAAACCTGCAATATAATCAGCTTACTGGCTCTATACCACCATCAATATTTAACATTACTACAATGCGATTCATTGCTCTTACGGACAATAATCTTACTGGAAAGCTTCCAAAAACGATATGTGATCATATTCCAGACTTGGAAGGACTTCACCTCGGTAGAAACTCCCTAGATGGAGTTATTCCACCAAACCTGGAGAAATGCAGAAAGCTTCAAATATTGGAATTGTCTGAAAATGAGTTTGCTGGAACTGTACCAAGAGAGCTAGCCAACTTAACAACTCTTACAGGATTATTTCTTATGGATCTGCATTTGGAAGGTAGTGTAAAATCTTCTTCCTTTTCTCTTTTCTGCCAAAATTATACTCATATATTTCCCCAAAATTGACAGGAGAGATACCAATGGAGCTCGCTAATCTTAATAAACTTCAAGTATTGGTATTATCACAGAATGAGCTTACTGGCTCTGTCCCTTGCAGCATTTCCAACATGTCAACTCTGCAGAGTCTAGATTTTTCAATAAACAAGCTTTCAGGTACTCTACCTTCAGATTTAGGTCATCGAATGCCCAACTTACAAGAATTCTTTTGTGGAGAAAATAATCTGAGTGGTTATATCTCTGATTCAATCACAAATTCTTCGAGACTCACAATGTTAGACCTCTCCAGCAACAGTTTCACAGGTCCCATTCCTAAATCACTTGGTAACTTACAATACCTTCAGATTCTTAACTTGCAGAGTAATAATTTTATCAGCGATTCATCGTTGAGTTTCCTTACATCATTAACAAACTGTAGAAAACTAAGAGTACTCCTGTTTAGTGAGAATGCATTGGATGGGGCTTTATCAGTGTCTGTTGGTAATTTCTCAAACTCTCTGCAAAATTTTGAAGGAAATGGTTGTAAGCTAAAGGGCATCATTCCTACAGAAATTGGTAATCTTACTGGTGTGATATATATGAGTTTGTATGACAATAAGTTGACTGGACATATTCCAAATACTGTTCAAGACATGTTGAACCTACAAGAATTTTACCTAACAAGCAACAAGATAGAAGGAACCATACCAAATGCTTTATGCAGTTTAATGAATCTTGGCGCATTAGACTTGTCAGGAAATCATTTTTCTGGTTCAGTGCCCTCATGCTTAGGGAATGTTACGAGTTTGAGGTATCTTAATCTAGCTTACAACAGGCTGAATTCAAGATTACCTGCAAACTTAGGGAGCCTTCAAGATCTCATAACATTCAATATTTCATCCAATTTATTGAGTGGGGAAATTCCGCTAGAGAGCGGAAACTTGAAGGCTGCAACACTGATTGATCTGTCAAATAATTATTTTTCTGGTAAGATTCCTAGTACTCTAGGGGGCCTAGATAAATTTGTTGAATGCCTTGAATTGGGCCCTTAATTATCTGTCAATTCTGTATTTTGGGCCCAAGCCTGTTAGGGCGTAGCTTAGCACTATATATAGACGCTATGGCAAACCCTATTCTGTAATTCTATTCTTGCCTCTCCATAATAAAACTGCTCCCCCTCATCCCGTGGACGTAGTCAATTTATTGGTAAACCACGTAAATCTGTTGTCTTGTTTTTCGCGTTTATATTTTTTCGTATTATATCAAATTCCGCATAACAAATTGGTAACAGAGCCTCTCGGTTAATCGGTGTTCTTGGAGAATTTCGAGATGTCTGCTTTGAACGTGAAAATCGACAAATTCACAGGGAGGAACAGTTTTAGTTTATGGCAGATCAAGATGCGGGCTTTGTTGAAACAGCAAGGCTTCTGGGCGCCATTGTCGAAAGACAAGAACGTCGTCGTTACTCCTGAGATGGCAATTCTGGAGGAAAAGGCGCACTCGACGATCATGTTGTGTCTCGCGGATGACATCATCACGGAGGTCTCGGATGAAGAGACTGCTGCTGGTCTGTGGTTGAAGCTGGAGAGTTTGTACATGACAAAATCTCTAACCAACAAGCTGCTTCTGAAACAACGTCTATTCGGTTTACGAATGGCTGAAGGTACACAACTCAGGGAACATTTAGAGCAATTGAATACTTTGTTATTAGAATTGCGTAATATCGATGTCAAGATCGAGGATGAAGATGCTGCCCTGATTCTGTTAGTATCTCTCCCAATGTCGTTTGAGAATTTTGTTCAATCGTTCATTGTTGGGAAAGATACTGTGTCGCTGGAAGAAGTCAGATCGGCCCTTCATAGCAGGGAATTACGGCATAAGGCTAACGGCACAAGTACAAACATACAGCCTTCCGGTCTGTTCACTAGTAGCGGAAAGGGAAGAAAAAACGGCGGAAAGAAAAATAAGCCAATGTCGAAGGGTGCAAAGCCGGATGATGTTTGTAATTACTGCAAGGAGAAGGGACATTGGAAATTTGATTGTCCAAAGAAGAAGAAGCAATCGGAAAAACAATCAGTTTCTGCTGCTGTTGCTGAAGAAGACACCAATTCTGAAGAAGACATTTCCCTAGTTGCGGATGAGCACACTCATCATTCAGATGTGTGGGTTCTCGATTCTGGGGCATCCTATCACATCTGTCCTAGGAGAGAGTGGTTCACGACTTATGAGCAGGTAGACGGAGGCAGCATCTCGATGGCCAACAGTTCTGTCTGCAAGGTGGTTGGGACAAGCTCGATCAAGATAAGGACACATGATGGTAGCTTCTGCACATTGAATGAGGTCAGGCACATTCCATTGATGACGAAAAATCTGATATCTCTCAGTCTTTTGGACAGCAAGGGATTCAGCTGGTCAGGAAAAGATGGAGTCTTGCGGGTCTGGAAGGGTTCAAATCTGATTCTAAAAGGTGTCATGCGTGGTACTTTGTATTTTCTACAAGGTTCCACGGTTACAGGTTTAGCCCATGTTGCATCGTCAGAAGTTAACCAGGAGGATATGACTAAGTTATGGCACATGAGACTTGGTCATATGGGTGAAAGAGGGATGCAAATTCTGTCAAAGGAGGATCTTCTTGATGGTCATAAGGTTAAGAGACTAGAGTTTTGTGAACATTGTGTCTTTGGAAAACTACATCGCAACAAGTTTCCAAAGTCCATTCACAGAACAAAAGGCACACTTGATTATATCCATTCTGATTGCTGGGGTCCATGCCATGTTGAGTCTTTGGGAGGCTGCAGATTTTTTGTGTCCATTATTGATGACTACTCAAGGATGACTTGGGTGTACATGATGAAGCATAAAAGTGAAGCTTTTCAGAAGTTCAAGGAGTGGAAAATTTTGATGGAAAATCAAACAGGGAAGAAGATCAAAAGGTTGCGAACTGATAATGGGCTGGAATTCTGCTGGTCTGAATTTGATCAATTCTGTAAGGGTGAAGGGATTGCTCGACATCGTACAGTCAGAAATACACCACAGCACAACGGTGTAGCTGAGCGGATGAATCAAACACTTCTGAAGAGAGCAAGGTGCATGCTCTCTAATGCTGGGCTAGATAGAAGATTCTGGGCAGAAGCGGTTAGTACAGCTTGCTACTTGGTTAACCGCGGACCACATACAGGCATACAGTGCAAGACACCTATGGAGATGTGGTCAGGAAAAGTTGCTGATTATTCAAATCTGAAAGCTTTTGGTTGTACGGCTTACTATCACGTTAGTGAAGGTAAGTTAGAACCAAGAGCCAAAAAGGGAGTATTTGTGGGCTACGGAGATGGAGTGAAAGGTTTCAGAATCTGGTCTCCAGCAGAAAAGAGGGTTATTATGAGCAGGAACATTGTCTTTGATGAAAGTTCTCTGCTTAGAACCATTGTGAAGCCTACAACTACGTTAGAAACTGGGAGTCTTGATAAACAGGTGGAGTTTCAAGTCATTCAGAACGAGAGCGATTTGAAAGAACCTGAAGAGGAGGATCAAGAGCCACAGACAGAAACTGATATTCCAAAATCTATGCCATCAGATATCCATCAGAGTATAGCTCAAGATCGGCCAAGGAGGGTTGGAGTTCGGCCACCTACGAGGTGTGGTTTTGAGGACATGGTGGGTTATGCACTGCAGGTTGCTAAAGAGGTAGATACATCTGAGCCATCTACTTAAAAGAAGCCATTTTAAGTCCTGATTCGGAAAAATGGTTTGCTGCTATGGGAGATGAGATGGAGTCCCTACACAAGAATCAGACATGGGATTTGGTCATACAGCCTTCGGGAAAAAAGATTATTACTTGCAAATGGGTTTTCAAGAAGAAGGAAGGGATATCACCAGCAGAAGGAGTCAAGTATAAAGCCAGGGTTGTTGCCAGAGGTTTCAACCAAAGAGAGGGAGTGGACTACAATGAGATCTTCTCACCAGTGGTCAGACATACTTCCATCCGAGTGTTACTAGCGATAGTTACACATCAGAATCTGGAGCTTGAACAACTTGATGTGAAGACAGCGTTTCTACATGGAGAGTTGGAGGAAGAGATATACATGACTCAGCCGGATGGTTTCCAAGTTCTAGTGAAGGAAAATCACGTCTGCAAGTTGAAGAAGTCCTTATATGGACTTAAGCAGTCTTCAAGGCAGTGGTACAAAAGGTTTGACAGCTATATGGTGAAGTTGGGCTATACTCGGAGCTCATATGATTGTTGTGTCTACTACAATAGGCTCAAGGATGATTCATTCATCTATCTAGTGCTTTATGTAGATGATATGATGATAGCTGCAAAGAAGAAGTATGACATTCAGAAGCTGAAGGGTTTACTTAGTGCTGAGTTTGAGATGAAGGATTTGGGAGCCGCTCGGAAGATTCTAGGGATGGAGATCATTAGAGACAGAGAGAGAAGGAAACTTTTCTTGTCACAGAGAAGCTACATTCAGAAGGTCTTGGCGAGGTTTGGCATGTCTTCATCTAAGCCTATTGATACCCCAGTGCTGCCAATATCCATCTCACTGCCATGTTCGCTCCATAGTCAGAAAAAGAGAAGGAGTATATGTCACGAGTCCCTTATGCCAGTGCCGTAGGAAGTTTGATGTATGCTATGGTCTGTACAAGGCCAGATTTAGCACATGCAGTCAGTGTAGTGCGCAGATTCATGGGACAACCAGGGAGAGAACATTGGCAGGCTGTGAAGAGAATTTTCCGGTACCTTAGAGGTACATCTGACGTTGGTCTCATTTATGGAGGTGATACTCAGTGCTTGGTTACTGGCTATTCTGATTCTGACTATGTTGGAGATGTTGACACAAGAAGATCGATGACTGGCTATGTGTTTACCCTTGGAGGATCTGTCGTCAGTTGGAAGACAACTTTGCAACCTACAGTGACTTTGTCTACTACGGAAGCGGAGTACATGGCCTTGACAGAGGCTGCAAAAGAAGGGATTTGGCTGAAAGGGCTGGTTAGTGATCTTGGTCTGCATCATGATCAGGCTACGGTGTATTGTGACAGTTTGAGCGCAATTTGTCTAGCCAAGGATCAAGTTCATCATAAGAAAACCAAGCATATTGACGTGAGGTATCATTTTCTGAGAAGTGAGAAGAGAATCAAGGTGAAGAAAGTAGGAATTGCTGATAATCCTGCTGATATGTTCACAAAGCCGGTTCCACAGAACAAGTTTCAACATTGTTTGGACTTGCTCAACATCAGAAGTTGTTAATTGCCCTGCGGGGCAATTCTGAGGAAGAGGGGGAGGCCTGGCACTATCATAGTGCGTCTGAAGAATCTGTTTGGAGAATTCAAGTCAAGGTGGAGATTTGTTGAATTCCTTGAATTGGGCCCTTAATTATCTGTCAATTCTGTATTTTGTGCCCAAGCCTGTTAGGGCGTAGCTTAGAACTATATATAGACGCTATGGCAAAGCCTATTCTGTAATTCTGTTCTTGCCTCTCCATAATAAAACTGCTCCCCCTCTTCCCGTGGACGTAGCCAATTTATTGGTGAACCACGTAAATCTGTTGTCTTGTTTTTCGCGTTTATATTTTCTCGTATTATATCAAATTCCGCATAACAAAACTGATTCATCTTTCTCTTACACATAATAGATTAGAGGGGCCTATTCCAGAATCATTTGGCAAAATGTTGTCTTTGGAATACTTGGATTTGTCCTATAATAATCTTAGTGGTCAAATTCCAAAGTCATTAGAAGCTCTTGTGTATCTCAAATACCTAAATTTCTCTTTCAATGAACTCAGTGGAGAAATTCCCACTGATGGTCCCTTTGCAAATGTAACCAATAAGTCTTTCTTGTCCGATGATGCACTTTGTGGTGACTCCCGATTTAACGTAAAACCATGCCCAACCAAATCTACAAAGAAATCCAAAAGAAAACGAGTGCTTACGGCTTTATATATTTTATTAGGGATTGGATCACTCTTCACGTTGACTGGTGGAATTGTGGTGTTAAGATTGAGAAACACAAAGAAGAATGCTACTCAAAAGGATGTGTCCCTCGTAAAAGGGCATGAAAGAATTTCATATTACGAACTTGAACAGGCAACTGAAGGATTCAACGAAGCCAACTTGCTTGGTAATGGGAGTTTCAGCAGGGTTTATAAAGGGATACTTAAGGATGGTATCATTTGCAGCAAAGGTATTCCATGTGCAATTGGAGGGTGCATTCAAAAGCTTTGACACAGAATGTGAGGTACTTCGGAACCTTCGCCACAGAAATCTGACTAA